AGGTTGGATTGTGTTCCCCCCAAATTCATATGTTGGTATCTAACTCCCAGTACCTCAGAATGTGGCTGCACTTGGAGATAGGGTCTTTAAAGAGGTAATTAAATTAAAATGAGGTTATTAGGATGGGCTCTAATCCAATGGGATTGGTGTCCTTCTGAGAAGGCGAGATTAGAAGAAAGACATGTGCAGAGGGAAGAACATGTGAAGACACAGGGAGAAGATGATCATCTACAAGCTAAGGAGAGAGGTCTCAGAAGAAGCCAACCCTGGCGACACCTTAATCTCAGACCTCTGGAATTGTGACAAAATAAATTTCTGTTGTTTTTCACCCAGTTTGTGGAATTTGTTATGGTATCCTTAGTAAACTAATACAGTGGGGTCATTGGGGGTCACTTTAGTGTCTATCCTCCACAATTGGAGACGTTGATGGTGGTTTTAAGACATAGTCCTAAGGAGCACTTGGTGTTCTTCTGAGGTGCCTTAGAGTCCTTCCAGCGGGTGGAAGAGCAAGCATATGGGGCTCTAGGGCTCCCAACCCCATTTCAATGAGTGAATTCCACTTGAATCTGTTGTATATATTGGAATTCTACCTACTGAGAATTTTTCAAGTTCAAAAAAATCTCTGTAGTCTTATCCGATGTGTCTTATCCCAGGAATATATTCCTGTATGGAAATTTTATTGACTGTTAAAATAGCACTGGACTAGTATTTAAGAGAGCTAAACTCTGATATCCGCTCTGATATAAGCCAGTTTGGGAACTTTGAACAGGCCTCCTAAGCTCACTGACCTTTTTGTTTCTTCACCTAGAAAATTAGGAGTTTGGACGAAACGATTCCAGATTCCATTCCATCTCTCAGTAACGCAAATTACAGCAGTTTATAAATTTTGTTGTTAATCACTTTGATTCCATTTCTACACTTACAGGGGAGAGATAATAAGATAATTCTAGGAGCCAGCCTAGTGGCGTAGTAGTTAGGTTCATGCACTCTGCTTCTGTGTGGCCCGGGTTTGCCAATTTGGATCCTGGGCACGGACCTAACACCGCTTATCAAGCCAGGCTGTGGCAGGCGTCCCACATATAAAATGGAGGAAGACAGACAAAGATGTTAGCTCAGGGCCAATCTTCCTCAGCAAAAAGAGGAGGATTGGCAGTGGATGTTAGCTCAGAGCCAATCTTCCTCAAAAAAAAAAAAAAAAGATAATTCTATACCATACGAAGTTTGTTTTGCTTGATCAATAATGACAAAGATTTCTGACACTTGAAAGCAGTATATATATTTGTACTGAAAAAAAACTTGATGGTATTTCTCCAGCATTAGAAAGATGTGTGAGAGTTACATTTTGAGCATTGATTGTAGTTTTTATTCTTGATTACATGTCTTTGAGAAAGGAACTGAAATTAGACAGAAGAGACTGGGTATTCTCATAAGTTCTGTGAGTGTAAAAGAGTCTTCCCAGCCAATTTTAAAAGAGAATATTTTTATCTTAAACCATATATAATAGTTTTTACCTCTGTGTTTTCAGAGATGAATTTACATAGCTGAGATGTTGTTTTTGTGTTTGTGTAAAACTAGTGACAAATTAGAAAGTGAAAATAAACTTTTGTTCAAATGCCAGGGACCTCATCTGTATTTTTATTGCTTTGAGCTTTTTCACTCACCGATACAGGATTTGAATCAATGAATAATTCTTTATCCTCACACCTGTAGTCTGAACTTGCTGCCGTAGTTGACAATGCATAATTTTGCTCTATTCTGTCAAAACTCAGCCCAGAAACTAAGAACATGTTCTCCTTCATTCATCGTAACATTCTAAAGAATTCATTTCCTTTAGGCGATGGTTCAAAATTTGAGGTCACCATGAGTTTAAAAACTTTCAATGCTCTTTTAACTCTCGGTTGTCACCTATTCTGATTCTTCTGTCTTCAATTCCCACAATGAAGGTCCCTGAACAGAACTCATCTGAATACTGAAAAGGCCGTGTTTCTAAAGCTATAGCAGGCTGGCAGGAGCTGCTCCATTCAGATGAGCTCTCTGATGTACAGGTGAGGCAGCAACTATATTGGCAGCATTTGCTGAATTCTCCAAGCCCACGGGGGGGCAGGATTCCACCTGGTTGGGATCCCCTCCTGGAGTAAACTCGGGGACCAAACTTTCTGAAATGAAATGGGCTGCAGAGGAACATCCCAAAGTGACAGCAGATTTTGTGTTCAATGACCGTCTGGTTTTCATTATCTTGTTCTCAACGAAGAATTCATCCAAAGAACAACCAAAGAAAAGCAATGTATAAACCATGTCAACTCCCCCTTGGATGAATGTGTCACACTTGATCCGTTATCTGGTGGTGATTGTGTAAAGGTGGGGAAAGGGGAGAGGAAGAAGTACAAAAAGGAAAAGGAGGGCAAAAACAAGAGATGGTAGGAGTAGGAGGAAAGCAATGTGTCAGCTCTTCAGCTGTCTCATTATGCAGCTCCTCACACTCACCAAAGACGTAATTCATCCTGCAGGTGCAGACATTGTTGGCTTTCTCATGGACTTGACGGATGGACCAGATGTATGTTCCCTTACCCCAGATGCTCTTTAAGAACACCGACCATGAGATAGGGGATTGTGTGCACCTGAATCAGCACAATCACTGAGCCTTATTTGTCTCATTTCTTGTTTAAAGAACCAGTAGTATTGTGCACAGAGCAACAAAAACTAGACAGAGGGCTTTTCTCTTTTAATATAGAAAAATGGCCAATCTAAACACCTTTTGGAGTCACTTCTTTATAACTGCCCCTGAGATAAATACGACACGACCGGCCTGATTACTCACTACCAAGAGACACATTAGTGGACAATTATCAGAACACTTAGCAACATTGCATCCTGTAATAAAATTCATCCGTATGTTTTCTACAAGGTTTCTAAGAATTTAATATGGATTTTTCTAGTATAAATAAAAAAAAGATTTTTCAAGTCATGTGAATAGATAACATAGAAATGGGAACTTCATTCTATCTGAATGTGTCCCCTTCCCCTCCCTGCTCATTAGCTCCCACCACCTTCAAGGATTCCAAAATCCGAACGAAACTGTTGCTTTTTGGGTTGAAGTTCCATTGACTCTTGGCAAAAAGCAACTTCCTGGTTCAAAGAAAAAAGACTTATAAAAAAGCTCACAAGGCTTCTTAGACATCAAATGGGTCTTACGAAACCACATTTTGATGAGCTAAGTGTAAATGAATCAGAAACACATGGATTAAATTTCCCTTGAAATACACATGGGTTTGAAAATTAAGGAAAAAGTGTTTAGCCAAATGTGTTTTGGGTTTCCTTGAACTGAAAACATTTGAAAAAAGTTGAGGCATTTGCTAAACCCTAATACACTGTTGTGTTTGCTCAACCCTCCTCCAGATCAATTAAATTTCCACGAGGCTTCCTCCATTCCCTTGTGGTTTGTCTTGTCACCTTTGTCTTGACACATTATAGACCAAACTAAATTCCCATTGAAAAAACAGACTGTTGTTCATCTACTTAAATATGAGGGAGCTATTAAAACACCCAGTGAATCAGAGACATTAAGGGGTGGAAAAGCACCCATTAGGTCATGAATTCTATCCTGAGGGTTGGAGCACATGCACTCACAGCTCTCTAGTGCTTTATCCAGTGTAGTTTTAAATGTCTCAAGTGACAGGACTTCCACCACCTCCCTTGGGAGAGTATTGTGCATTCTAATAGATTTTGCCATTAGGAACTGTGCCTAAGTGTACAACAGAGGCACAGTGGACTGTCTCGGAGAAAAAAAGGTATTGTGGAGGGTTAACTCTTTCACTACTCCATATCAATCACCTGTAGCATGTGCAGCAACTTACTTTAGCATTTCAGTACTTATGAATGTGCTGTGTTATATGTGTACCTCACTAGTTTTCATTTCAAAAATAGCATTTGGTTAATGGGATAAAATTGTGCCTATTTTAATGCAAGATAAAGCTTCACAATTAACAGATACAACAGAATAAAACTATAGAAAGTCACAAATATATTCTCTTATTTGATATTATTTTAATATTCCTCAAAAATACATGACTTTGAAAGTCTTGAGATTTTTATTAATCAGGAAATGACATCTAAGTGTCACCAACTGGAACCTAAACACACATACTACCTGTATATATATTTTATTACATATCTTCTCCCAAAACTGCCTTCCTTCTGCTGCTAACATCTTTTCTTTAAACCTCTTCACAGCAAGTTGAACTTATTTTCTATTTCTACTGCTCCTAAGGAAGGCAACACATTTGTTGGAAAATATCTATTTGTCTTTCTAGATAAAAAGGAAAACCTAGCTTTCAATATAACTAACATGTTTTCGGAGGTCTTATGGCAGAGTTTACATTAATTTGCTCCAGTTCTCATTCTACTTACAAATGAGTTATAAGTCACATAATGACTTACATGGCCTGTCATACTGCTACTATGCTGACCTTTTCAAGATTCTGCATTGTGAACAGCTGACAGGCATACCTCTTCCATGCCAGTTATTGCAACCTATAAAACTTAACCAACGAAGCAACAAGAAGAATCAGGTAAGGAGAATGGGAAACGGCATGACATTCTTGACTTCCCTTTTCAATCTCTTTCAGATATGGGGTGGCTTTTCATGTTTCACACAATCTTTCCTTTTCGTTTTAAAATGAGCATTTTCTTCTCCTTTCACCCTGTTGCTCATATTATCTTGCCCCTCCGTATGCATTTCTGAGTTGGTCATACAAAAGAAGTCCTCTGTTAGGGTATGGAGTTGAGAATTTTGCATCTCAGTAGCTCTCTTTTTTTTTACTATTTTAAGATTTGAGGGGAAGGAGAGATTGAATTGAATAAATACGTTTCAAAATTCTACATCCATTTGATTATTACCACACTTTCTCACGTTAAACTGTCTTTCTTAAAGACATTTTAAACAGTATTTAAAGCTGAGGACTTGCCTTTCGATTAGGACATCAACACTGAATGACACTTACCTTTAGCAAATAGAGTTGGGTCATTTTCCTCTCTCAATTACGCCAAAATGAGAAGTTGCTCTCCCAGACTGTTTACGTTACTATACAGCTTCGGTTACCATCGTCTTTTCCTGCAACAGATGTAGGTTTCCGTTTTTAATTTTTCCTTTAATCTTTTCTTAAAAGTCGATCCTTATGGCCCTTTAATAAGTGTGACTCTTCTCTGAATTTTTTCTAATGGATTCCCCTTCTCTCTTAAGAAGATTGCTGTTAATATTTAACAATTTTGAATCTCTGTTTTTAAAAGGGGATGTTGGATTCTTAGTTTTTAGGCTGGTTTGAATTCAAATGCACTTTTCCACAGCAAAGACTGAAAAGCACACATACGACTGCCATTTGATGGCAGCCAGGACCAAAAGGGGGCAAACCGCTGTTTCTTTCTTCTTTAAAGTTATTCGATATTAAAATAATTACAAGCACAGAGTAAGAACAATATTCTGAATCAAGTTACTGAGTTCCGTGCTCTACTCTGAATTTGTTAAGTTTCTGCGTAAAGGGGTATTTATTTTACCATCTAGAAAATGCTTTAAATTATGTCTCATGTTCAAAAAGACTGAGAAATAAAAGGCTCAGTTCTTCAGGCAGAGCTAACCTTTGAGATTATGGTAAGCATATGATGCCTGCTGCCATATTATGGCCACTAGCTTCTTTTTTTCATTATTGGCAAAAGTGAAACCAGATTCAGTAACGCATTCAGTGAGATGCCTTCAACTTACTCAAACTTAGGGAAGTCTGAAAATCTATCAGAAGGAGCTGATGGCGAGGCTGTGCTCAACTAAATCCAAATGTGCATGTGTACTTTCTACTTGTTCTATAATGGATACCTTTAAATAAAAGTCACTATGTAGATCATCTTATTAAGCACATCAGATGAGTCATTGTCTGAGGCGGAATTCAAACGCAAGATTTGTTTCTTGACAGTGATTTTATTCTATCTTACAAATACATGTTATTTCAAAAGGAGATATTAATAAATCCTTGAAAGCCAACATTTTCTATGCAATGATCATTTCATAGACATTGGGAAAGAGAGAAAATATTTATAAAGCATTTAGCGATGAGTAATTCACAAGGAAATAATTATAAATACAAGTCAAACAAATTGGCAATTGTTTGCATTTCAAATTAGAAATCACATGGAATGAAGCCTCGCTCTGATTTGCCTCACGAGCATCTTAGGGAACGCTGTTCCTACCTACGTTTGTGAGGCTCACATGGAGGTCTAGCTGATAGAACATTCGTCTGAGGGTCTGGATTTCATAAAGGCTTTCCTGGCTCTATCAGACCTTGCTGTGTGGCCTGGTGGAACGTACTCTGGATTTTCTCTATTTCAGTTTCCTCATCAGGGCAGCTGGGAATTAAAAGAAATTTTTTTAAAAATGTTAAAGATCTTAATAGTAAGAATGCTACCAATTTAGTAGGACCAAACCATGTTTTTCACAACAACTGTATTTTCCCTAAAGTCACTGATAGCCTGAACAGCCTCAATTCCATCTAGACTTTTCAGAAAATCCTGCATGTCCACTTAAGAGATGAGGAAATTCAGCTGAAGAGATGACGAGACTGAACGAAGGCCACTATGGGTATCAGAAAAACTGGCTAATGCCTTGTTTATAGAAGTGTTCAACAAATATTACTTAATATGATCCTACAGTGTCCCACCAGATTAGCCACAGACAGACATTCTTTCTTTATTAACTCCTTAAATGATATTGTCAGCATTATCTGTTTGTTTTTATCCTATATGTAGCGTCAAAAAGCAAAAAGGCAAAGATTTTAAGTCTCCTCTCAGTAAGCATGCTAAGAAAACCACAAAATCCTCAGACTTAATTATATTCACAGCTAATAGAGTGAAGAACAGTGAGTGACTGGGGAGGGAGATAGGTTAGCGTAAGCAGACAAACTTGTACCAGCCCTAAATTAATTTGAAATTTGGTGTTTCCCCACACACAGAAAATCCAATAGTAAAATATAAGTTATATAAAAATGCATACATGACTAATGCAATTTGTGGTCATGCTTTACTCTGATCCATGCATGATCCAGTTGATCCATGCACAGACAGGAATAGCATTAACTCTGGTGCAGGGGGGATCATGTTCCCAGGTTTGCTTGTAAAGTCCAAATTCACACTTGTCCCTGTTTGCTGAAAGCATTGCCCTAGATTTTTTATCGTCAAGCAATGCATTATTATTAATAGTTGCATTCAATAGGTCAGGATGGTTTGGTAGAAGTCCACATTTCAGTCATTCAGCCACTGAATACGTATATTTCCTTTAATGTCTTGGGGCTTTTTTTGCCTTTTGTCATAAGCAAAAATTTTTAAAATGGAAAGTTAAAAATTTCGTTTTAAAACTTTCACAATAAAACTTTTAATGAAAAGTTAATTATTGAATTTCTGCTTGCCAAAATAGAGGATGAACTTTTAACTTGCACAAAATACTTGTTGACATTTATTATCCACTATAGGGCCTGTAATGATACCACTAAACACATGAAAACTCAGACACAACTCTTTTGAAGAAGCATCAGCAGCTACTTCAAAAGTTACCAGTTGTTTATAGACAACTCTGCCAAAGATGATAATTTAACAAATGTAGCTAAAGAAGGTAGGCTCTCATATTACTCTGAAAGCAAATCTTTTTATTTAGATCAAGTTAATGTTCTTCGTTAATTTTGCTTATGCTGAAGTCCAAATTTTCTTGTGCATATAAAAAAAGGAAAGTAATAGCTGCTATTGACTCTATTAGCAGAAGAACTTTGCAAATGGTTAAATGACGTTACTTTTATCATTGTTATCAGATGCTTCAAACTGACAAGTTAATTCCACTGGTAGTTTAATTTTTTGATCTCATTTATAAAATCAAAGCAAAGATTAGGGCAGTTCATTTTGCTGAAATGAAACATCTGGCATGGAATATTTAGTTTAAAAAGATCAAAAATAAATAAAATTATTTGTTTTCATAATGAACATAAATATAAATATTGATGAAGAAAAGTGTCATGTTAAAAAATATTCTTACTAAATTAGGAAACCTACAGAACAGAAATATACTTGGTATTGGCTGTGGTGAACACTTAGTTTATACTTTTGTTTCCAAACAAACTGAAAATCTTGAGTTAAAATAGAAGTAGCTGTTGTCAGAATTTACAATTTTTTATTTCTGCACAGTAGGATGGACTAAAATACAGATTTTTTTTTGTGATGAAGTTAATGGTGAATAATTTTTTTAAAAAAACAATGTGGTAGTGCATGCTTTCTCTTTTCATTGTCCATCAATAAATATATTTCAGAAATGTTTTATCCTTTGAAGAGCTGCTTAATAAGTAAACTTAAGTATTCTAATATGGTATTAAAACTCTTCTATAATTTTTATAACTATGTGTTAAAACAGAAGTAGAAAAAAACAATCCTAAAATTTGTATGGAACCACAAAAGAGCCTTAACATCTAAAGCAATCTTAAGAAAGAAGAACAAAGCTAGAGGCATCACACTTCCTCATTTCAAATTATATTACGAAGCTGTAGTAATCAAAAGAGGATGGTACTGGCATAAAAACAGGCACATAGATCAATGGAAAAGAATATAGAGCCCAGAAATAAACTGACGCCTGTATGGTCAATTAATTTACGATGAAGGAGCCAAGAATATACAATGTGGAAAGAAGATACAGTGTGGAAAGGGGAGTCTCTTCAATAAATGATGTTTGGAAAACTGGATAGCCACATGCGAAAGAAAGAAACTAGACCACTATCTTACACCATACACATAAATCAACTCAAAATGGCATAAACATGAACATAAGACCTGAAACTATAAAACCACTAGAAGAAAACATAAGGAATATGCTCCTTGACATTGGTCTTGGCAAGGAGTTCTTGGATTCGATCCCAAAGCAAAGCAATAAAAGCAAAAATAAACAACTGGGACTACTTCTAACTAAAAGCTCTGCACAGCAAGGAAATCATCAACAAAATAAGACGACAACCTATGGAATGGGAGAAAACATCGGCAAATCATATATCTGATAAGGGGTCAATTTCCAAAATATGTAAATAACTCGTGTAACTCAATAGCAAAAAAAAAAATCTGATTTATAAATGATCAGAGGAACTCAATACATATTTTTCCAAAAAAGAAATAAAATGGTGAACAGGTACATGAAAAGATGATATCACTAATCATCAGGGAAATGCAAATCTAAACCACAATAAGACATCACCTCACTCCTGTTAAAATGGCTATCATCAAAAAAACAAGAGGTAAGTATTGATGAGGATGTGGAGAAAAGGGACTCCTTGTGCACTGTTGGTGGGAATGCAAATAGGTGCAGCCACTATGGAAAACAGTATGGAGGATCCTGCAAACAGAAAGAAATGAAAATTTATGCTTATAATAGCAAAGGGCAAATTGAGGAATTTAAATGATGAATTCTCAAACAACATGCACTATTTAATTTTTAAATTCTAAAATTGTGCTGAAAAATCTTGACTCATGGGAGAAAAAATTTGGAGGTCCTTATTTTAACTGAAAAAATATATACAGCATACTGAAATGGAAAAAAATTAGAAAACCTACAGTTTTACAGGATTTAAATATGGCAAAGCATTCAAAACAGTCATCATCGTTAACTTATTTGAAAAATGTAGTCTTACAAAAAGAATTGTTAGATATTGGTGAAAGGTAATGTAAATAAAACAAAAAGCCAGTACCTGTGAAAATAGACAGTACTATATATGTATTTTTATGTTAAAGAGAATTCAGATTAAGAATATTTCCTCTTTAGTAGCATTTACCATTAGCTTATGAGGTACTACAGTATCTGTTAACAGATCATTGTCTCATTTCGAATTATTATAGTCCATAGAGAAGAGTCAATTGAAGGCATCAACAATTTCAAGTTAATTAATCAGAAAAAGGGACTTGGAAGAATGTTGCAGGTAATTTTACGAAGAAGTTAAAAATAGAAAGCCTTTGTGATGAGATTCACACTCCTCTGTAAGTTTATTTAAAAACATTGAATTGTACACCTAAAATTAGTGAATTTCAGGGCATATAAATCAAACTTCA